CATACTTGAAGTTTACTTTACTTTCGTTGTGCTTACACTCACTCATTCACTGCTTATGCTAATCATATCAGACAATATAACAAGCAGAAGCAAAAGCACAATATACTGAACAAATTGAAATAGTTAACAGCTCACTTACTTCTGCATTCCATTTCAGTTTTCTTTATCTCATTTACTACACAGCATTCTCACTACATTTTAATCTCATCAAGTTTACTCTTGAATAAATTTTATTCTCATCTCATTAAACAGATTCTTAATTACATAAAATAGAACACAATAACTTTAAGACAAAATTACACCAAAATCACATACTTTTTACTATCAAATCTTATGGAACACAGTTCGACTTGAACATCAAATGTTCAGTCAACGTTTGTTATGAATAATAGAAGGATAACACTAAGAATGATAGAATTTTAATGAAAAGTTTCAATTCTTGCGCAAAACTCATCATTAATATTAACGAGAATATGAACTAAATCTGGGCCGGTTTAATTGTTCCAAACAGATCCGTCTAATCTATCTAATTCATTTAACGCTACACAAAAAAAAGAAATGAATCACATATTTACTTCACTTCACTTCACTTCGAACTATGTAATCATCCGTCGCATCAACAAAAAAAAAATTGCTCCATTTACTCGCATACAAGTACTGAAACGCTGTGATTATTAAGAAGGAAGATATCATTTAATAAGGCATGGTTTAATGCGTATATTAATAAATATTAATAACAATAATATTTATTTATTTATTTATTTATTTATTATTATTATTATTATTATTATTATATAATTAATCATTGATACTATTAGTGCATATTATTAATAAGGCATAGTATTTAATGCGTAAATCTGACAATTATCACCCACATATCACCTACATAATAGATGATAGCAAAAAAGGTGTAACGTTTTGCGTATTGTTACGTGCATGTAAAAATAAATTGTTTGCTAGAACGAGAACTTTAAAAAAACTGATTGAATCTATTACAAAATGCAAAAAAATAATCTAGAAATTGAAACGTGTTTCCATCTATTAGAATACAGATCAAGCAAGGACGATATTCACTTGCGTTACAAATATCAGCACAACATTAATGAAGGAAATTTCTTCGAAGTATTCATATTTTGCACATTTTTGAAATGCGTAAAAGTCTAGTACAATATAGCTTAATACTTATTACCTACCGAAAGGTTGTAAAATAAGAAGAATTTCATCGCGTGTTCAACGTGAATACAGCAGGAATGAAAAACGTATTGAAACTTTAGCAAAATAGTAAAACAACCTTCGAGACAAACAGCAACTTTTTGTCTGTTCGGTAATTAATCAGTATAAATAGAAAGATTCGAAGCAGCATATTTTGTAACCTAACGTACTGCTAACTTTCAATAAATTAAAATTATTCTCCCTGCCCATCACCAATTATTAAAATCGTGAAAAGAGTATACGTGAATGAAAATTGAAAAGTTCATCGGTGAAGACACAATAAGATAAAGAAATAGCATTGGAAGTGATGAGCAGAGACATTTCCTGTTGTCAACAGATACCAGGACTAATGACCAGAGGTCATTTGAATGGGATAGTCTTGGTCACTCAGTGCATGAATTAGATTTCAACTATTGCGATGGGTAATTTTTAGCAAAGATGTCAAAAATACTGACTTTTAAATTGCGTGACATACGGAACTTTGTTGTACAGCAGCTTATTTGTAGAAAGTTATATGTACATTGAAAAAATTGAAAGTAAATCAAATTCTCATTTATTGCGCAAAAAGTTGACGAGTGTGAAGTAAGAGTTTTCTTTGATATCCACATACATACCTGAAGATTGATGCCTGTTTACGTAGGGATCAAGAGAATGCTTCAAATTTAGAGCTTTTTTTCTTCTAAAACAATTCCGTTATAAAAATGTCAAAGTTCAACGAGCTAATCGAAAAAAATGAACAATTTCTGCAAAAGCAACTTTGAAAGATTCAGGAATTGAAAAATAGGTAATTAGGATTACTACTGCAGCTAGTCATTTAAAAAATTTAATGAGATCCCCAAGACAAGCAATCAACAACTTCCTTGATAAGTAATAGATTTCATTCTGACTGGCCTTCCTGATGCATAGATGGAAAGTTAACTCGAAAGATCTAGTAATTGTGTATTTCTTTACTTTACATAACTTCTCTCTGTTACTTACTTTTCAATTATTTACTTACTTCATCAAAATTAGTAAACAGACAGATACTGATTACACAATTATAATCATTACTTTAGCAGTCCAAACTAGAACTGTAATTTCAATCAAAATTTAGAGTTCACATCATATGAGTAAAGTACTCAAAGTAAACATTGAAAAGGTAACAATTAGAATCATTTCTGCATAATATTCGTATTAGTTACTATTTCTTCAAATTAATTGTTTTTGTAAAGAAATGTAAACATAATAATTGTTAAGAAGATATGAAAATTCGTGAAATACAACAGAGCTCATGGTTCTTTTTTCTTATCAAACTGATTTATTAGAAGAGGTAGTTAATTAAAATCTAGTGCACTGTTCCAATATTATGTTATGGAGTAAAGTGATTCAATGTTTGTTTGAAAAAAAAAGACTTTAACTTAAATGTTTGTTCATATTTTTCGCTTTTTGTATTTACAAACGTATATTGAAGTGAAGAAAAATTAAATATAATCTATACTTTAACAAAAACAAAGATTTTTATTTATTAATTTGATGTAATCATAATTAATAAATGAAGACAAACAGCATCAAATTTTACCTACACATCTATTTATAGCATGCTGTCATTTACTTTTCCTGTTTTAAAGCTTATCATAATCTTTAATTAAATTCTGCAATATTTTTTGCAGTTATTTCTTTTCCGTTACCGAAGAAGTTACTTGTTTTATTGATTATTATTATTATTATTATTATTATTATTATTATTATTATT